GACACGAAATCATAGATTTTAAAATATCGTCGTTGGAAACCTGTGGATAAGAGAAGTCATTATTTAATTTGCTTCAATATCATAATGATTATCTGACATCTGTTATTACGTTTTCAACAAAACCAGGGAAGTGTCGAAATGAGATAAGCCACATGCATTCCAAACGATGAATTGACTCAGACGTTTCAAATAATGACGAATCACATTTCCCTCCGGATTCAAACAGCTCAAGCAAATACATTACCAAATACGAACTGAAAAATCTCAAACATATATAATAGATGAATAATGCAGTTCAAACAATAAACTTCATTTTAAATACATGAGATACACGTTTATATTGGATGTTTTATGTGACTGGATGAACACCAATGTCATATTATATTATATTATAATCTGTTTAGGCCGAATAACCAGGAAAAACAATCATTTTATGTAATCGAGCTTGATTTAAGCGTGGATTACTGTAATATCCTGATGAATCTACATCGATTAAGCCACAGATTATACAGGTATAAATAAGTTATCTTGATTGGATTTCAAACTTTTTTCTACTATTTTCACTAATAGACTGATAACGCAAACCTCATATGCAATATAAGCGAACTATTCATGACCCGTTTTATCACTAATCATAGGTGATTGCATACTGCCTACAGAATGATTATTATCCACCGACTACCTCCTGGCTCCTATACGTACGTGGACCTCTAAGGCGTAACGAATTCCTCTTAATCTTAAACTTTGTTTTCATCACTATAAGGGTGATGAATGTGATGTAATCATCTGTGACTAAATCATGTAGGAGAAAACCTGGCATGAATGATAAACGTAACCCACACATAGCTGATTGTACCTCTAACATTAAAAAAATAAACATTTAAAAATATAGCAGTTGTATGGCGTCCTGTTTGGTCATATAACAGTGTGCTGTCTAGACGATCGGCACTGTATACATCCTTGCTGAAAATCAGGTCATTTTGACGACCGTAAAATGTAAACGACAGAAGAAATGTGCTTATAATAAGGATAAGCTAACAGTTATCAACATAGTAAAATGTCTCTACTACGAGATTAGCAAATAGTTAACAACAAATATTTTCAAGCAATTTGTCTGTTATATAGAGTGATTTATCAGCTTATACGAGGTAAATTTACAACTATCAAAACAGGGGAATTTGTCTGCTATACCAGATGTTGTTATAGAACAGGTATTTTTTGACACAGGAAAATAAACCGCTGCCAAACATTCGTCTAAAATACAGGGAAAGCGGACAGAGCTATAAAACAGGAAATGGGTAAGCTATCAGATATGAATGGAAGGAAATTTGATCTTTATTCAAGTTAAGTTAACAAGAATCAACAAATGAAATGGGTCTGCAATATGGAGTAAGCGTTCAGCTATCACGTTAAAAATTGTTTGTTCTTACACGTCTTATACGCCTTAGCCAATTGTTTAACACTAATAATATTAAAATGCTACTGTTAACTTTAAATTTATAATTATGTACATATATGTTATACTGTTACAGTCTAGAGTGATAGGGGAAGAGTGAGTGTCTCGTAAGGCTGGATGTAAGGGTGGGTGAGCATACATATTTTAGAGATTGAAATACTTGTACCTTTTACATGTAACACTATAATAAACAATTTTGAATTGAATTGTGTTTGTGTAATACAAGGTCCAATACCATTACTGGCTATGGTCACAAGGATTAAGTAAGTTTGTAAGAAAACACAACCAGAAAGAAAGGTATATTTAATCCCTGGGCCTACAACTTATGTCATTATTAATGCATATGGCATGTTGAAAAAGGAATGTAAATAAGCATAGTGAATGAAATAAACATATTAAACCTTTTCATGGTTTTGCAATTTGTTTGGCTTCTTTAAGATTATTACGTAGTTAATTGTGTCTTAATGGGTTCACGGGTGGTTCGGGTGGTGCATTGGATAACGCTCTCGCCTATGACCAAGGCGACCGGGATTCCATTCCCAGACACAACGTAAAAAGGTGTGGGGTGAACAGTCCGACTGCGTGCGTTTTGTTACGGGTACTCCAATTTCTTCCCACATTAAGAACCCCCGCGCGCTAAAATCTTGGCCAACAAGAGTGATGTATGAGCTAAAATAACGTGTTTCATACCTGTTGTAAAATAACTCAAGTTTGCTGTGAAATAATAAATTGAATAGGTTATGTTTGCATGCCTGGATATACAGAAGTCTTCAATCAATGTTGTTACTTGTGTTTCCTGCTTAATATTTAGCAATGAAGATAACCGCAACTACTGGTTACCCATTGTCAGTATAATAAGACCGTTTGGAATACTATGCTTGATTCACTCGGAATGGTATATCTGTGAGGTAGCACGCAGGTAACATAAAATGCAGCATGCATTGTATAGGCTACGTTCTAAAAATAGATACAGGTAATGTGAGGTTTTAGATAAAGTCCTAGTTTATCAATTACCCAATGTACAAAACGTTGTAAGTTTGAACATAATAAAGGTTTTATAGGCAGTTTGCTCCTTTGATATACATTTCGGGAAATTTTTTAAATGGACTTGTAACAGTTTGATTTAGCAACAGTGATGAGTCCTAAAAAGACAAAATAGCCATATGACTACATACGAAGTAAACGTTTATTTTGTTGTTCTTTCTGCACAACTCAATGCAGTTATGTCCACTCAATAAGTACACTAAATATTTTCAAATGTCTCAAGGGGCCGTGGTGGCCAAGTGGTTTTTCTCCGGGAACTCCGGTTTTCTTCCACCATAAAAACAGGTCCTTAAATGACCATAGCTGTTAATTGGACGTAAACATACATTTCTATGGACCTTCTCATATGATGACTGTCAGGTATCTATTTGCTATGGATATACTTAACGTCAGGAATGTTGTTTCAACTATGGATTATATTTTCAATATCTCATTTAAACTTGTATATGTTAAAACCGTTGATCTGCGTTTTAAGTTAACTCTTTTACTTTTTAAAGAAATTGTTAAATAAAGTAAGCAATAACATGTTTTATTTTTTTTCAAAATGAGCATTTGCTGGCAACCTTTAACTCAATCGTTTGTACCGCAGATTAAACAGCATGCGTTGATATTATGTATGTTTACAAATAACATTTAAAAAAAAACATGTGAAAATTCCGGACTAGTGTGGCCACTTAATAATAATTCTATATATATATATATATATATATAGATGAATATATATAAAAAATGTATAAATATAAACAAACGTTTTTAAGACTTAAAAAATAAATGAAGCATCAAGTAAGAAAAGATAATAATTGGAACACGTTGCCCGGGCTTCCACACAGGAATTTAATGAAAACACATGTAGCGAGAAGTTTTTGTTTGATCTAATTTTATTTCAAGGACATGGCATTACTTTACAAAATTCCATGTTGGTGATTTGTATTACAGTCACCTCCCCTTAATTTCATTTTGGATGACACTGTACCACGTTTTGGCCGAAACATTCCCGTTGAGCAAATAGAATTTTGGTTAGAACGACAGTATAACAGTTTTGGGTCCAGAGTTCGAACCCTGATCCAGCCATGGTGACCCTCAGAACACTGTTGTTGATAACATTTTATTTATTTCATCTTTATTTATTTTAATGATAGTCCCGCAAGATGTAGTTTTCTTTACAGAAAAGAAAATCAAATCTTTAGTCATTCTGGTAAAACAGTTTCAAATGCATAACTACAGTTTTTGGCAGTGTTATAGGGACATATGGTAAAGTAAATATTGACAAGGATCTATCAACAGGATGTACCCACACATTTTTATGCGATCACGTGATGTCTCATGATCCGTTTCACTTAGTATACACCTTTGCTATTGTCCTACGACCTATTTGTTGGAGAAAGGTGTTGATGTTCATACCTTCTATTTTTGGAAAACAAACCCGGTTAGCCTTGAGCAGGATTGAGTGTGTCTAGACTTTATGTTATAAATAGGATGTATATTTTGTGTCTGAAACATAATTAATGTATCCATGCATCTTCAGGAATATTCCATTGCCGTAATATGATTTTTTGTGAATAAAGACTTCGCTAAGAATAGAACACATGAACATCAACTGACAAGGAAGTATTTTTTATTGAAAATACTTTTGTGAATAAAACTATTTCATTCGGAAGATCGAGTCATGTCATGCCGTAGAAGATTGAAATATCTTCGGCTATGTTATTAATTATCCATTATTAAACATTACGCATATTTGCTGTATATTGGCAGATAATACGTAACATTAAATATTCGGTGAACTGTCTTTCTCGATGTGCGGATACAAATGGAATGTCCGTGAGTTTATGGAACATGTATATGTTAACTGCCCCCCACACACACACACACACACAAACACCTCTCTCTCTCTCTCTCTCTCTCTCTCTCTCTCTCTCTAATATTCTAATAGAGTGTTGGAATAGCTTGACATATGGACCAGTCGGTCTTGAAACGTTTAATACGTGCATTGTTTATGTAGAAAGTAAAACTTTGTTATATCATTTTACCTGTAAATAATTGTACCAGTATCTAATTTTACCTGTATCTAATTTTCGAAAGTGACCAGACAACCAGAAACTCTGACAAGCTCAAACAAAAATGCAACCAGCTACCGAAAAGATCCCTCTACGAAAAAACATACTCATTGTTATTTAAGCGAGATAAGGTTTGTAAATAACAGATATTTATTTTGTTCCCAAACGTTTTGAGAAGTATTTTTTTTTCTATTACAGCAAATCCTTGAGTCCGGAGGGAAAAGATTAATTCAGGATATGGATCATGGGATGAACCAGACATCGAATTCCAGATTTATTTATCACGATTTTCATCCAATCTCTTTAGTCTTTCCCAAATATAAACAGAGGTTATAGTTGAGAATAAACTGACTCCATTGGATATTACTATCCAATCATCACTCGTTTGATGTCTAATGTGCATTCATGTCAACGCTATTCCGTGCAGAAGTGATGCAAAAACCGGCGTTATGTAGGAAAACAGATGATTATGTCTCACAGATATCTGGTGACACATGTGTGTTTGGGTGGGCGTCGGTAACCTGAACTGCATTGTGGAAAGTCGTCATGCTTATGGCTACATTAGAGGTATTTAAATTCTGGAAACCATCGTCACTTGTGCAGTGACTTGTTCATCTAGGACACTCGCTGGTCGATGACGAGGGCGTTCACAGAGAAGAGCTAAACATATCTCTCCGACATATACGTAAGTTTATGATATAATTTGTTTTGATGCTCTGCATTATTTTGTGTTTTTTACATACATAATCAGTATAGTGTTTTAGTAAATAGTATGGCGTTTTACATAGGTGTTCATTACCTCATTGTTCTTTATTCAGGCACGCATATATCTACACGGTATCTATATATTATTGTGTAAACTCCTTAAACAACTCCGTGACTCGTAGCTTTAAAATATGAAAACAAGGAAGAATAGTTTGTGTTTGTAATGCTATATTAAAGTTTATTTTAATTGACTTTAAAGATTAAGATTTGTAGGTCACAGCCTATAATAATATAGTATCAATTTAGTGGAATAAAAGACATTTAACACTCCATGTCAACGTGTTAGATTAACATGATTATAATATAACCTTATTTTATCACTGAAAAGGTTCATTTAGCAGTAATGTTAGGTATGTTCTTACATGTACCCAGACAGTTTCTCTGATATTCTGCCAGCTTGGTCACTGGTGACGTTAGTGATGTGAGAGTTACTTCCCCTTACAAAGTGTCGTAAACCAAGCTGAGACATAAGCCCCATGGTCTCTGTTCATAGCACGCCCTTGTTTTCTTATCTGGATGGCCTTCTTCCCTTGTCGCACTCGCTGGTTACTCTCTCTGCCCACGATCTTAGCCTGCTCTCAGTCCATGACATGATTTCTTTGTTAACATGGTCCGGCACTCTTACACATTTCTCTCTCGGATGTTTTTCTCTCTGACCTAGTAAAGTTTCTGTTGTTATCAATGGACATAGCTTCGTTTCGATGTTCTTTCAAGCATGTTCCGAACTTCCGTCCAGTATCCCCTATGTATACCCAACCACAGTTCTTACTACTAATCTTGTACACACAATTACAAGTATCGTTGATGGAAAATCTGTCTTTGTTCCTGATGGAGTGGTCTCATTCTGATTAAGATTCGGTGTTTCTTGAATATCCGTTGTATCGTCTCCGATAATCCGTTGACGTATGGTATAACTACGTTGCCACTGGTCTCCGATCTGTCCGTTGTTTCTTCTTCTACTCTTTTATCGCCGGTTTGTTCTTGATCTTGTCTTTCACTGTCTTGATGGTCAAATTGGAGTATCCACATTTCGTAAGCGCTGTTGTGATGTGCTGCTCCTCCCTGATCTTGTCTTCCGGTTCTGTGACCAATATGTTGCATCGGTCAAGCAGTGTCCTTACTACTTCCAACTTATGGTTTAGGGGGTGATGGGATGTGAAATGTAGATACTGGTCTGTGCTTGTCAGAGTCCGGTATACTAGTAACTTAATGGACCCATCTGATTTCTTTAAAATGAGAGTGTCTAAGAACGGAAATGAATTGTCGTTCTCCTCCTCGTTGTTAAACTTGATACTGTTGGTGTCGTCCAAAGTGTTACATTTGTAATATGTTGGGTCAAGTCCCCCACACTTCCCTTCTTTATCACCTCCAACACATCACCTCCATTCCTTTTCCAAAGAGAAGGGCCACTATAGACGGACACAGGGCTACCCACGGCTGTACCGAATTACTGTTGGTATATCTAAAGAAAAAGTTGGCCATATGAGGCAAGGAACGTTAAACAACGCAATCGGTTGAACCGCCATTTTGGAGCGAGATCATGATGGCTTCTTTTGTTTTGACATTTTTAATGTTCTTGTTATGTTCTGTTCTTATCGACATACAACTACGACTTCAAAGTTTCACTAGTCCCGCCAACCGTAACTCTTCACTTGCTTGTTGAATTTGACCAAACACTAAAAAACGGATTGACACTTGTGCTCCTCATTTTAGAAAATTAATAATAGTGTCTTGTCTTTCACATACACGTTTATCCTTGCAAGGCAGAATCTCAATATCCTTGTTTTTATAGATAAGTGCAGCCTGTATCCGTTTTATGTGACACTGTTGTTATTGCTCTTTTTGTTGTTGTCGGTGATGGTGATGGTGATGTTGGTGGTGGCGTTTACAGTGAAGGTGGTGGCGTTTACAGTGATGGTGGTGGTGGTGGGTTTTGTTCTTATTGTTGTTGGTGGTTATGATAGTGATGTTTACGGCGATGGTGGTCGTGTTGCTGTTGTTGGTTGTGCTGTTGTTGTTGTTGTCAGTGATAGTGTTGGTGGTCGTGATGTTGTTGTTGTTGGTGGTGGTGGTCGTGTTATTGTTGTTGGTGGTGGTGGTCGTGTTATTGTTATTGGTGGTGGTGGTCGTGTTGTTATTGTTGGTCATGGTTGTCGTGTTGGTGTTGTTGGTGGTGTTGTTGGTGTTGTTGTTGATTGTGATCGTGTTGTTGTTGGTGGTGGTCGTGTTGGTGTTGCTGTTGATTGTGATCGTGTTGTTGGTGGTGGTGGTCGTGTTGGTGTTGTTGTTGATTGTGATCGTGTTGGTGGTGGTGGTGGTCGTTTTGTTGTTGTTGTTGATTGTGATCGTGTTGTTGTTGGTGGTGGTCGTGTTGGTGTTGCTGTTGATTGTGATCGTGTTGTTGATGGTGGTGGTCGTGTTGTTGTTGTTGGTGATAGTTGTTGTGTTGTTGTTGTTGTTGGTGGTGTTGTTGGTGTTGTTGTTGATTGTGATCGTGTTGTTGGTGGTGGTGGTCGTGTTGGTGTTGTTGTTGATTGTGATCGTGTTGGTGGTGGTGGTACGATCAAGATTGTAACATTGCCCTGTCAAGTCTATTCATAACCTCTTTCCTTTCATGCGGAAAAAACTACATTGTTTGCACATACCATAGCTCAAATTACTATAGCGTGAAAGAACAATTGATTGACAGTACAGAATAAATTAAGAAATCCCTTTAAATATGTATAATAAAGAGGAACTGCGTATCTTTCATTTCCTTTACAATTGCTCTAGGTCGATTTCGCATCATGGTACCGTCTGTTTTGTCTGGCAAATACTTCAGCCTGTTGGTTTCCTGTAAAAGGTTATTTGAATCTCTGTAATTCACTTCCGGTCGAAGTACTGCAAGTTCAAGGAACAATATTTCCTTCGCTATCATGGTTATATTAGCAAAAAGTGGACTTAAAACTTTTGAAAACTTCAAAAAATGATATTTTGTTTCATATGATTTGTTGAAAATGTTTCAATATACCTTTGACATTTACTTTCGTGAGCATTGTAATGGCTGTGTCTGTTTAGATGCGAAACAAACCGATTCTCTGATGAGTAAGCTTCGTTATTGAATACCATTGAGCATAACGTAGTGTTACGAAGCTAACCTAGCAGAGAAACAAGGTCGGCGGAAACAGCCATATGTGGAATGTCGTCCCAGTGTGACCTCCCATATGGCCTCATAAACAGAATTGAACTGAACACCCCCTCACCATTGGGTGTCATAATATCGTAACATTGTTTATCGTTCGGGGAAAAGTATGCTTCTTTACATTTGCCTGACTGTGCTGATTAGATAAAATGATAATTGTTTACATGCTCTTAACAATACACTTTTTTGTAAAACTTAAACCACTCCAACCTTCTTAAATAAAATGCTGACCCCTAACTTGACCATATAATTATCCGAGCAATTGTTATATCTTGCTTTTATATATGCTTGCTACTGAGACCGATGTTATGGTAATTCATGAAAGTCTTCCCTGTTACCTTTGTTTACACCTTTCTTGACCTTCGTACGTGGTATCTGGAAAACTAACAGAGATATATGCTTGACAATTGGACCATTGTTATAGTCATACACCATTTCTACGTGGTACAGGCAGTGCAGTATTCACGAAAAATGAGTATCCGTATCTGATATCAGCTGCTGAAGAACATTGTTCTAATACAATTTACAGTACATTTGTAAAAGTATAGTCGTCAAAGACAAATTGCCAACATTGAAATGGTTAATTGATCACGACCGTTTTTTTTACCAGATTTTATGTCTTAACGTCGCTTGTCGACGACAAGACAAATAAAGAGAAGGGGTTAAACCGCAGGTATATACTTCTAACTTCTACTTCTAAATGGTACTGACCAACTTCAACAATTTGAAGATAAAATGTCAGACGAGGAGTGAAACATGGAAAGAGATTGTTTTTAAAAGATACGAGATGGTCTAATTTGCGTTTGAAAGGTGACGGTAGAGGGCTGATTTGAATAATTCCGTTGTGGGGCTCGAAATGATGTCAGGTGGGAGTTTATTCCACTCGGGTATAGTTCAAGGGAAGAATGATGCCTTTCTGGTCTGGGTTTTTGAGTGGGGAATTTGATACGAAAACTGGTGGTTTGTTCGGAATTTTCTAACTGTAGGGATTAGTCTGTCTGATTTTACGATAGCGACTTTCTGCTTTACAATGTTATGAAGCAAGGTCAGACGAGCATCTCTACGTCTTTCTGCTAGAGGGCGCAGCTTTAGGTGGTCCAACATTTCTGACACACTGGAGGTACGATGGTTCCCTGGACCATTTCCAACTTGTCAATATTTGTTTGAGTGTGAGGGTCCCATACTGTACAGGCATACTCAAGTGATGACCTACATTTAAGGGGTGTATAAAATACACGTGGGGTTCGATCATCACTTGGAAAAGGATAGTTACACATTGTAGCAAGGTTGTATCTGAATTACGTAGTAGATGTGGTTTTAGTGTTTTCATAACAAAATTTATGACGAAAGTTTTATTTTTTTTATTTTGCCATTAGTTTCCTTGTCGCTTTATTAATGCAATACTGTATTAATTGTTTTACTTAGATTGAGAAACAAACGCAGACTTTTGTGGAGCCCGATGTCAACCATCTTACTTGTAAGTCATACAACGAAGAAACGACAAAGCTGTGCTATATCCTCTATGGTAACACTGACGCTTAATCATGATTTGCTGTTGTTGGATATACGTATCTTCTTTATTTATTGATCATTTAATACATCAATAAACAATCTCTTATGATTTCGAAAAGCGTATCTAGACTCCCACATAAAAATGTCCATTGAATTGGAGTAGGGAAACGTTATATGCATTATTTTAACAATATATAATTGATAAAAGTACGCACTGAACAACTTTGTATCATTTCACATTGGATCGTTTTTAAAGAGACATAATATCTTGCGTTTGGACTATAAATGAAGGAGGGGACGTCAACAATAACACAATCCAGGATTTAAAGCCAAATTGCCACCATTGCAGATTGATTTTAAAATTATTAACACAGGAATAATTGTTTTTACAGTACGTATATTGGTAAAAAAGTAAACAGTACTCTTTTAGTGGTTTTAAATGTTCAAATATTTAATGAATTGTGCCAAAATGACAACAAATATAGTAAATAGTTCACTTCTACATCTGTAGGAGATTATACTATTTATGTAAATGTAACTGTTGCTTTTGAAATATTAAAATATGTCCATGGACATGTGATTAGTAATAGATTAAATGAATGTTGCTCTTTATAAACGTACTAATTAACATTATAAAGTATTTGCTGTTCTGTAATTTATTTGCGCCTTGATTATGAAACCAACATTGTGATATCCCGCAGGTGACAACCTAACCAGGTTTGACTATATACCATAACTTTGTTTTTGTAGAGTGGAGCCATTGCTGTGGCGGCGATAGCGTTTCTTGCGATAATGTCCACCGTGTTTGTTGGTCAGGAGGTAGCAAAAAGTAATGACCCTGTCGAGTTCAGGTAACCACTTACGAATATTATGTAATTAGCACAGTCAAAAATCATGTTTGGTCAGTATATATGAAATTAAAAGCTGCATGGACATTCTTAATACAATTTTGGAATACTGTATGTATAACCAAAACTAACCAGTACTCCTCTTATTTCTGAAATGCATATAATAAAGGGATTTTACGCATCGCTCCCTCTGTTTCAACATTGGTTGAGGCAAGAACTTCGTTTTCCAACGTTTTTGCAACTAGCACCACCGATAATTCCTAGAAGGACGAAACATGTGTATTGTACAGTGTAATTCACCTTTAGGTATACTGTATATAATACCGAATTCTAAAGGTGCTATCGCCCGTCTGTGTTTGTTTCTCTTATATACACTTATTAAGATATTTAACACTTTTGCGTCTTATTTTTGTCGCAAAAAGTAGCAGCAGGCACATAACAATAGCTTAACACGACTCGGCTTTATTGTCCTGAAATATTCTCTTTAACGATTTCGTATTATCACAAATTAACCTAATACAATTTATATCTTTCTTGCAAAGGAGTTGTACGTACCGAGAATGAAGAAACGATTCTAAACATTTTTTATAATCTAATTATGGAATGAATTACCTAAATACTGATCGCGTACTAGACAATTATACATAGAGAATGCAAAGCGGTTATATATATATATTTGTATCGATTAATCGGACGCAGAACAAACTACATATACGCAAGAGATGATAATATGTGTTTTACTTAAATTCATAAATTAATAATATGTATTTTTATGTATAAAATGATCTTTTTTTCTCTCTCCGGAATTCATTGACATTGAGATATTCGGTGGATCACTATGAAACATTGTACGTGTATACTCTGGTAATGTTTAAGGTGCTTGTTCTGTTGCAGATAAAACAATCGACAGTTGTAATGCGGTTTCCTTATGGGTTGTAACTTCCTATCAACTTCGTTTTTGATATAACATGCGCACTTGGGCCATCATACTTTCGTGTATTAGGTTGGTAAGAGTGACAGTATAACACTATAATGTCCAGGGTCCTTGTCTGCCTCTCTTGTATTTTTAACACTTATTTAAAACACAGAACACCAATGTCGATACTTTTTTCCAATTTTTTTTTATATTTCATACAGGTCCCGCGTTATATATTTACTATTCAGAGATGATTTATTAAAATTAAACTTATGCTGGAAAACAGTTTCCAAAAAAGCACAGACGCTCTTTTTGTTGTCAGTGATATGGGAGGGGGTGAAGTAATGACAAGTAAAGTTTCAACAGGTATATTGGTAATGCGTATGCATCATACAGTATATACATAATCAATTTATGTAAACTGTACTGATATACAACCAAAACTTTAATTGTCTCTGTAGCACAAATACTCATCTTGAGGGATTTGATATTACTGCCGAAGACCAGAAGCTGCGTGATGAACTCAGTTACCGTTGGATTAACCTAAGTGAAGGCGTGTCTGCTGATGATTGTAAGAAAGTTGAGGGGGATATGTGTTTAACGAACTTTCACTACCATGGATGTTGCAAATCGTAAGTACATATACATATATACAGTTTTCAATAAAATAGTGTAATATCGAATTCTATAAAAGTAATAAATTTATATCTTTCACAATGTGACAGGTATCAAAAGTGATATTGGTCAGTGTGAAAATATCACTTGAAATATTGACCAATCAGATCGACATTTTACATTAGCATCATTCAAAGTCGCAGATTTTCTGTTCAGCTACTGATGAAGTGACAGTAGAAAAAGTGGTTAATTTGGTACATCTTTGCTACATTCACCAAGGTAATAATTTACCTTTACGATTGATATCATTCATGCAAAGAAATCTGACCTACAAAAAAAAAAAGAAAATGGTAAAACTGTTTGTAATAGCTCATTCAAAAAGGCGCGCAGCCTTGTTGTCAAGCGTGACGTCATGCAAATATATCGCTAAAGATAAGTGTCCCTTACTTTGTTGACGAAGCTGATGACATTGATTTTAAGATGTAATGAATTACAAATTCAATGATTTCCCCGTTAAATACCATATATATTTCAGGGATATGACAGAATACCGATATCGTGCGGGTGCTGCTTTGCACTTGTGAAACAATATACGGTAATATTCAACGGGTAACCATTTAATATTCGCTATATATTACATAACATTTATTTCTTGATCCGGACGTAGACATAAGAAATATAAGATATGTTTTTTTTGTAATATTTATGTTGGTATGCAACAGGATGTATCACGCATCAAGGAATATGTTTGAACGGAACAATGTTTATGTTGTATATCCTTCAACGTAACTGCGTTACAATGTTAAAGACAAGGTTAAAAACAGATGCATTTCAAGCAGTACATTAACCTGGAAAACAACAAAGAAAGTTGTATTCAATATTCGGGTTGATTTCTTTTAGTAAATATTGCAGATTTTAAACAAAACTCTCTTACCAAATGTTGGTATAGCCATTCTCCGGAAACAGGGTCATGCTTTTTATGGTTACCAGACGGTGACAATCAATAAAACATCATTCGAAATTTGTTGTTACATCTAAATTTAGTGTCACGACATGATTGGTTCCAAGTAATCCTGACTGTATTGCTATTTGAAATAGATAAAAAGAAAGATACTTTTACATTTTTCAGAAAGCCGCGATTTGTATATCTTAGGACTGTTACAGCCTTAAATGGAAGACAATACACATTGGCCCCTGCACAAGCGTTTTCGACAGAAACATGCGAGTAAGTATAATTGAAGCATAATTCATAATCCATATTATACTGATGACTTAGGCCTAACATATTTAATACTTTAAATACTTCTCCAAGATATTTTATGACCTATCAAAGTTTTAGCTGACTACTATTTCTACGGCTACTTATGCCATGATTTCACTGCCGACATCAAATTGGTTGATGTTTAAACTATGTTTGTTTACCAATGTTTTTTGGGTTTATTTTAAAAAATTGTTTTCTTTTTCTTTACCTAGACAATTACCATATTGCGACCTGCAGTGCGAGTGTACGCTGGTAGATAATATGGTCAGGGGACATACCGAAACAGAGGAATTTGTATGGTTCCTTCTTCCATCTTGTTGTAAATGTATGAGTTAGTGATATACCCCTAAGCATTATGGACAAACATCCTCTTTGTAATGAAGCAAAAAATAGATAGCATACGAACAGTATGAAAATACTTCTTTCCCTATGATACGATTGGAAAGCCAATCTTTTACCTTCTGTAAGCAGAACAGTAGGTTCCAATGGTTTCTTTGTTAGATTTCTTACGTAACATAAGACCTAAAGTTTTACCTTGTCCTTGAAGTGTAATTTTGCTTTACATGTATCCATCATTAATTTTATTTTTAATTATACCCATTTTAATGGACGGTTCGACACCGTGGTAAAAGTACTAGTTTTGTAATTCATTGAAAGAAGAAATATTTCTTTTCTTCTTCTTCGTCTTCTTTTAAGTATTACAAGCCATGTACCTCTTCAAATAAAGTTTGCCAGTTGTTGATTATCATAGGATGCACAGACATATACATACTGTTAGAAATTTAGCCCCCAAAATGTGTAATAGATTATTTTCATATTTTATCATCAATACTTTATTGACCAGATACAGTTGTGTCAGTTATATATACAAGCACCTCTTATAAAGTAGCCTTAAAAACAGAAGTTTAGCGTTATATATACAAGCACCTCTTATGAAGTAGTCTTAAAAACAGAAGTTTAGCGTTATATATGCAAGCACCTCTTATAAGGTAGTCTTAAAACAGAACTTTAACGTTATATATACAAGCACCTCTATAAAGTAGTCTTAAAAACAGAACTTTAACGTTATATATACAAGCACCTCTATAAAGTAGTCTTAAAAACAGAACTTTAGCGTTATATATACAAGGACCTCTTATAAAGTAGTCTTAAAAACAGAGGTTTAGCGTTATATATACAAGCACCTCTTATAAAGTAGCCTTAAAAACAGAAGTTTAGCGTTATATATACAAACACCTCTTATAAAGTAGTCTTAAAAAACATAACTTTAGCGTTATATATACAAGCACCTCTTATTAAGTAGTCTTAAAAACAGAACTTTAGCGTTATATATACACGCACCTCTTATAAAGTAGTCTTAAAAACAGTAGTTTAGCGTTATATATACAAGCACCTCTTATTAAGTAGTCTTAAAAACAGAACTTTAGCGTTATATATACACGCACCTCTTATAAAGTAGTCTTAAAAACAGTAGTTTAGCGTTATATATACAAGCACCTCTTATATAGTAGTCTTAAAAACAGAAGTTTAGCGTTATGTATACAAGCACCTCTTATAAAGTAGTCTTGAAAACAGAAGTTTAGCGTTATATATACAAGCACCCCTTATAAAGTAGTCCTAAAAACAGAAGTTTAGCGTTATATATACAAGCACCTCTTATGAAGTAGTCTTAAAAACAGAAGTTTAGCGTTATGTATACAAGCACCTCTTATAAAGTAGTCTTACAAACAGAAGTTTAGCGTTATATATACAAGCACCTCTTATTAAGTAGTCTTAAAAACAGAACTTTAGCGTTATATATACAAACACCTCTTATAAAGTAGTCTTAAAACAGAACTTTAGCGTTATATATACAAGCACCCCTTATAAAGTAGTCCTAAAAACAGAAGTTTAGCGTTATATATACAAACACCTCTTATAAAGTAGTCTTAAAAAACATAACTTTAGCGTTATATATACAAGCACCTCTTATGAAGTAGTCTTAAAAACAGAAGTTTAGCGTTATATATGCAAGCACCTCTTATAAGGTAGTCTTAAAACAGAACTTTAACGTTATATATACAAGCACCTCTATAAAGTAGTCTTAAAAACAGAACTTTAGCGTTATATATACAAGCACCCCTTATAAAGTAGTCCTAAAAACAGAAGTTTAGCGTTATATATACAAGCACCCCTTATAAAGTAGTCCTAAAAACAGAAGTTTAGCGTTATATATACAAGCACCTCTTATAAAGGAGTCTTAAAAACAGAAGTTTAGCGTTATATATGCAAGCACCTCTTATAAGGTAGTCTTAAAACAGAACTTTAACGTTATATATAAAAGCACCTCTTATAATGTAGTCTTAAAAACATAACTTTAACGTTATATATACAAACACCTCTTATAAAGTAGTCTTAAAACAGAACTTTAACGTTATATATAAAAGCACCTCTTATAATGTAGTCTTAAAAACATAACTTTAACGTTATATATACAAGCACCTCTTATTAGGTAGTCTTAAAAACAGAAGTTTAGCGTTATATATACAAGCACCTCTTATAAAGTAGTCTTAAAACAGAACTTTAACGTTATATATACAAGCACCTCTTATAATGTAGTCTTAAAAACATAACTTTAACGTTATATATACAAACACCTCTTATAAAGTAGTCTTAAAACAGAACTTTAACGTTATATATACAAGCACCTCTATAAAGTAGTCTTAAGAACAGAACTTTAGCGTTATATATACAAACACCTCTTATAAAGTAGTCTTAAAAACAGAACTTTAGCGTTTAGTTTTATCCTCCTTAATTATAGATCTGTAACAAATGTTCAATTTATATATATCATTGTCTATGTTTTTCGTAATTTATAACCCCTTTACAAATGTACAAAGAATAGTTACATATGAATGTTAGAGATGTTATGCGGACGTCAATTTCACCAAAATTATTGGCGTGTTTGTTGAAACATTGAACATAATTGTTTTGTTAACTATTAAATTTTATGTCGGGCTAACCTTTATCACGAGTGTTAGTGACGTCATGCTGACGTCACCTTCACGAGATTAGTATAAGAGGAGTGTTTGACATGCCTCTAAACATAACAATTATGTGAAGCAGTTATATGTTTATGCCGCGTTACATTTATTATGTGGGTAATTGAGTATGATTCTATTATGGGTTTGCAGCGTAGAAGTATTATCAAAATAGGTACCTAACTGGCAAATATTATATCTTCTTCATGAACATACAAGTGTTATACGCTTTTCATCGTGCAATCAGATATCTCATACTTCATGAAATATGACCATACGTGAACAACACATGTTTGGTCTGGGCCATCGCTGCAGGTTTAGGAAAAGAATAGACATGCTAGGTCCCACTTATTATCGTATATTTGTAAGAGGTGACCGTAAGAGCTGTTCAAACATATGCAAGGGACATGTTAACGTCTTATCTATAAAAACAAATATGTTAAATAGTGAGATTGTTGTCATGGCTTTTGCATTAATACTAGAAGAAATAAACGTTTACACAAAAACGCCATTGATCGTATCATCATTTGAACATAACTTTTATGCAGAGCTACATTCATGACTATTGCTTATACTGTTGTGTAACACTAGTTTTATGTGTCCATTTGTGAATTGATATGATAATTTCGTAGACAATCGTACATGTATGTAAGCTATATATTGTATTGTGACTCTGCTGGTTTAGCTTTATTAATGACGATACATATGAAATGTTTGAAAAGTATTGTAAATTCGCTGCTAGTTGAATATGGGTTTTATACTAGAAATGTTANTGTGGAATATGGGTTTTATACTAGAAATGTTATACAACAATCATAATACAGAAAACTATTACGACATAGTAGATCTGTAAATAATATTTGAAGTTGTTTGTTCATTGGTGTGTATATTGATAATAAGCAATTGTTATACCATACATATTTTCTCCCCAAATTGATTAATTCATATTGTGTAAGGGTTTAACATATTAAAAGTCGCAGCATCTCTGTGAATTGTACATATGGAATGAAATGTGAATAAAAAATATATTTTTTTATCGTCTTTGTGACCTTTTTTCACTCAAATTCAACCAAGAATATTATAAGTATCATACAGAACTTAATGACGGATCTGGTTTGTTGATATACGGTAAACATGCTTATTTTAACGCACTTTGATTTTAGCGTATTATTTAATTTAAATAGTTTGATGAACTCATACATACAGTAACTTTAATTAGTCATACTTTAGCGTATATCAATGTGCTAAATTACAATTTCCGCTAAAATATGTACGTTTACCGTATTATATAGTGACATATTTAATATCTTTTTTCATGTACTAAATGTGTATTTTACTGATTTGAGAGTGATGTTAAAAATGTCACTATTTATTCAATATAGCGACGAACCCGGTTGTTATATAATCATATAAGTGATTCTTACTGAAAACGATTACTGGTTTATCCATGCAAAGTGGACAAATACCAAAGAGAGGCGAATGGATGTCATTAAAGCTGACATGTCTTCATTGACCCTTGACCGTACTATTGATAATGAAGATAGTCAGTGGTTTATCAGCCTTAACCTGAAAAAACTTCAAATAAAACTTATCCTTGTATGATCTTAACATATGATTTGGTTATACATGTATAAGAGTTACCTCCCTTTATTGGTGCAATAACACAATCTAGCCTTCCATTAGGAGTTCTCGATCACGACTTTCATCAGCTTGATTAGCCGACTAATTTTGTAGATAGGCATGCCGCTGTGGACATCGACTTAAAAGTTCTTGTCACTACTTCATGGATCGTCGTCGCTATGTATATATGAGATATTATCTTTTTCTTCATTTGATATGCCCATAAAATAAAGGACCTATCGGTTTTTTCAAGCACAAAAACTGTTTAGACATAGACAAAACTTCATGACTTCCGATAGAAAGCTGGAAAGTTTCATAATATAGATGTTAATACATTCCATTTCCTTGTTAGACTATGTCGTTGATGTGATTTACATAATTGTTATTTCATGTCTTTGTATGCGATGAAAAGGCGTTCATAAGTTGATATAACTTGTGCCCTATTCACTGCATAACTAAGCTTATTAGATCTCCAGAAATCAGTAAAATCACTATAAGAACAAACTTCTTTATCTCTTTAATTGTAACACAATAAAGCTTAGCACTCCCTTGTTCTCTTATATTTGATTACATATATATGCTAATATCTAACAACTCTCGATTTTACAAATGTGCTTGCTAATACACAGCGCTAGTTATGGACTATATATTTTCCGTAGCGCTAATTTGTGATTACCCTATAGAAGAAATATAACATTGAATTGAAGACTTTCAACTATTAGACGGCTAATAAATTACCTTCAAATGAGTACTTGTTTACTTGACGCTTATACAGATCGTCATATAATCTTCGAATGATATGTAAAAGAAAAACAGATCGGAAACAAATATAAGAAGCATATATACGCTATAGGCGGAGAAAGTAAAACTGTGCAATTAAGCCATAAACGTTAAAAAACAAACAAACCTTTTTGATAGTTAAAGAAAAAAATTGTGTTTAAAATCGATAGTAACTGGCAGTTATCGAAGCCGCGATGAACCCAAAACAAACGGAAAAAGAATCAAAGTACACTTGCATGGGATATATAAATAAATTGTGACGTAAGAAAACAAAGACGACATGTAATGTAGATCTCCTATCAAATACGATACAAACAGCGTTATGTTAACAGATAATTGGCATTACTTTCTCTTTAGGATAATTTGCACACAGATCATTAATTACTTCATCTACGAATACCATTTATTTCATTTTTCTGAATTCGTCATGATTGCGAGGCAGGCGTGAACACACCTTCTAAATCCAGAGAGGGACTTGGCTCTCTACATCACAAATCTAGTCAATGTATGCAACACGTTGTGATCGAAACGAGTTAAATAGACCTGCATTCCTGTAATCACAGAGTAATTATTTGATTAAAAATGAATTATTAAGGCCAAAACATTAACAGTGAATAATATCACAATAATTTTACAATAATATGATTTGACTTAAGATGAAACTGAACAGCGCGGCAAAGTAACAGATCGCGGACCGGCTTTGATCTTCGATTATCAGCATTGGTACTGGTCAGTTTTTAAAGCTACAGATGTAGTCAACTGCCTTTGATTTTTTCATGACATATTTCAAGGGTATAGAGTATCTATGGGATATCGAAAGTAGGAAACATGGATGTTAAAGACAGTATTTACAGTATTAAGTGTTTAGTTAAACTAAACAAATGAACATCCTCAATATTTATCATGGCATCAAAGTACACATCAAAATTGTAGCTAAAAATGTCATAAAAAAAGCAGCGAAAAGATAAGAAATAAAAATCTATACACCAATACGATTCCATTCGGGAAATGCTATTTATTGTACAATTATGGACTTAAGTGCTGGTTAAGATATTGTGATGTGATCCTGAAAAATAATGTTGTTAGCGTTTAAAGTAAAGGGGTTTCCCTTAAACACTATATTTATAAATCAAAATTCACCAGAAAATCGTTCTACATAACGGGTCATTTGTATCAGATCCTGCAAAGAATTATGAGAAATTATCAAATATATAATAGATACACATGTTTATATCAACTAAGTAATCAGAGATATAAAAACACATATAGACATTAAAACGTTGATTATACACAATAACATGAAAATGTATATGGCGGCATACATATAATTCAGGTAACTATCGAGAAAAAAAATCAAAAGTAATTAAAGTCACATTAGATATGAAGTTATACCTATTTAATGATGAAAGTAATACATACACTTGTTATTACACCTATCAAATTTGATAATAAATACAATATGCAAAAAATAACACTACAAAATACCGCTGTTTTGCTCTTAAACGTCTCCTCGGATAAGCGGATATATTATATTCAGCCAGAATTCAACAAAAGGCATATATAGTTACTTAGTGATACACTAATAGTCATACACAAATTAAACGCATACCCGTAAGCAGACACATTTAAAAGATGTGATACCTAATCAACATGAAAATGAAGTACATTTCAAACGATTACAAATAGTTGTACACAAACTGTGTACTACACGTAAGTAGACACAATTAAAATATGTGATATTAACAAGAAATCAATAACATTACGGCAATCGGTCACATCTTACAAAACAGATTCATGTTTCCGCTGTAGTTTTATGAAATTGAAATCTTTTTTTCAGTCTGCATGACGAAAGATCGATCATCCATTTTTTAAAAGAAAACTATACTTTTTTTAACTATTACCAAAAATTATAGAGATGAAATTAACAAACATATTATTAACAGCTACGGGGACAGTCCGGGATTTAAACCATGGACTTCGAACCATAATACAGTTACTCTACCTAACTTAGCTGCTTGATTAATGGTTCTTCCTTGGCACTGCCCGGTCTTATTGTTATGGTAAATCAGCAAGGGAGGGGGGGGCTACTGGATGTATGCAAAACTATAGTGGAATTATCTGGTGTTTTGCCTGCAATGGAAACGGGTGTTATACCTGAATTTCGTCTACTCATGTTCTTTTTATATTCTGAACGTATCGGCATGGAACTCCGTTTTGTTTTTCTATATGGCTTCACTTATACAAATATACGTATTTATACATGATCTTTTCGTTCCATGAGAAACATTTTGTCAAGGAATGTAAACATCTCATATTTGTGTTTGTTGAAACATTGAACATAATTGTTTTGTGAACTACTAAATTTTATGTCGGGCTTACCTTTATCATGAGTGTTAGTGACGTCATGCTGACGTCACCTTCACGAGATTATTATAGGAGAAGTGTTTGACATGCCACTAAACATAACAGTAATGTGAAGCAGCTATACTTTTATGCCGCGTTACATTTATTATGTGGGTAATTGAGTATAATTCTATTATGGGTTTGGAGAGTAGAAGTACTAACAAAATAGGTACCTAACTAGCAAATATTATATCTTCTTCGTGAGCTTTTAACAATAAAAAATCTTAACGTGCATTTATTCCACCATATATGCCATGAAATGTAAACATCTCATATTTGTCTCATCGACTTGTGCATGGTTCAGTGACGACGTATTTCGGGAAATATCCTCAAAACTGGAACCAAAGTTGCAATATTTTTGTAGGGGGCAGTGCCTTTAGTTGGATAACGCATTTACAGTGACTACAGAATCTGTAATGTATAAAAGATACATAGTATTGAATTAATGTAGACATTTCTGTGAAATGTGGGGGTATGGCGTCCTGCTGCATTTTAATTTAAACATAGGATATATAGATAGCGTATCGGTTGATTGAACGCAGGTATATTCGGATCTATTCAGACGGAACGTAGTCGATCTTGATCTTACCTTACACATATAACGGCCAACTATGACAGATTGCACCCTTACTTACTTAGAACTGTAAGTATATAAACATACTTGTCCTTCCTATACTTTCAGGTGTATTTCAAAAGAAGGCAGTATTTGTCTTTACATAAGGTTGAACCTTTGTATGAAATCATTGACAGGAAAAAGTTCTTTTGTAAAAGCAGACGACCCTCTGCCTGTGTTAGGTGTAAGCCAAGTAAAACATTAAATAATCAAGTAATTGTATCTGTTTTTGGAGGAATGTGTGAAAGGTCAGATTGAAGGATTTAAGGTTTAAAGATTTTATGGGAGGAGAAATGAAGATATACTTATTTAAAGTTCAGGAAATA